GTTCTTTCCTGGTTTTAATTAAAGATGAATTGGTTAAGTTGTAATTTGTACCTATGTAACCGGATTAAAAAATAGTAGATAAGTAAAACAATTATGAAAGGTTTGTGTAGTATATTAATAATAAAGAATCGTCGTAGTGCACATGCGTAGTACAGTATTTTTGAAAATCTCGATTTTTGATTGGCTGGTTAGTAAATTTTTACGGATTGAATGGATTTATCCGGATACATAAAAGAGAATCCGAATCTAATCCGGATTACTTTTTTATCGAAGCTCTAAGTGGTAGACATCTTGCTTTTTGTTATCTATCGGTAATAAGCCTAATAGTGAGAAATTTCTTTCGGTTTGGCGCTCGTTCCCATACATACATAACTTCTGACATATACATACCTTAAAAATTTTTTCGCAGGAAATTTGGCTGAACTCCACATGCTTTATATCTTGCTGTTGGGAAGGAAAACATCACAATGTTGTTTTTATGTAGAGTTACATAGAATTTCTATGTAGAGTTATGTAAAATTTTTATGTAGTTTTATAAACCCAATGTAAATTTTATATGGCTATTTATATAAATATATATATATAAATATATGTAGAATTATCAAAAAAATTTCCACTTAAATATTAAAGCTAGAAATAGATTTTAAAGCTTAAACTAGAGTTTGGGAAGTGTTTTCTGGCCTGCTGAACATTTTTACTTAATATATCGAACACTGATTACCTTATTCATTTTTGAGAAATAGCCAAAGTAAATTAATTTTATATTAAGCTATACATAAAAATTCCAATTATGTAAGTCTACATTGGGTTTGTAAATCTAAATGTGATGAAGAGCGCCAAGCCGAAGTTAAGGTATGAGGCGTAATTAGTATTGTTGTATGATCTATGAAAGCGCATGCAAACGGAATTTTCAAATGTAGATCTACCGGAAGACACATGAATAAAATCTATTTTTAGAAGCGGGGTCGGGATTACTGTTCTATAATTAGCGATTTATAATTTTGGACTGACCATCGTGACTTACCATATGTGGTCGTGCAACATTTATTATATCGATATGTAATATGTAACATTATCATTTCATTTTTGGCTGTTTGTGTTGTGTCTCTCATGCAGAGATCGACGTAGAAAATTTCCATCCGAAACCCAAAAAAGGAAATATTTAGTCTCGCCATTTTTTAAATAGATTACATGATTATGATCATGAAGATAATAGCGAGAAAAAAAAAAAAGAAAAAAAAAAAAAAATTGCGAACCATATAAGATAACTTGCGAATTGTGGTAAAAAAGCATCTTTTAGATGTTTATATAGTTGACCCGAATAAGTTTAACCCTCTGTTTTTTAACTTTGTCATTTTCTTTTTTTTTTTATCGGATTTTTTAACGGTATGATTAATTGATAATCACTGATCGCCAAAGACATTGGCGAAAGGCCATAGAGAGAGATTGTGGAAATCGATTTATTACTATTTATGATCGTGAGAAATTATTATTATCACGAGAAAATTTTGTAACATGATTTGAACTTGTAAACTAGATCAGCAGTGGCTTTAGTGGCTTTGCTGCTCGATTCTTTCTAAAAAAATAAGATGCCTCTTAGCGATCTATTAAATAACGTGACATATGATGCATATCTGATAAATCAAGTATCTGTAAGATGGTTTGGGCCGCGGAAGCGGCCCAAAATTTCTTATAGATATTTGATTTATTCACTGATATTATCATTCATTATCAAATATGATTTCACCGATAATAATCTCTTCATAGACAACTTAGTTCACGACAATTAATTAAAACAATTATTTCGCTGATTATAAATTCAAAGAGCAATTCTGGTCATAATCGTTGGAGTAAAAAGCATACCACTTAAGGTTAGTGTGAAATGAGCTGTTGGTAAAATATATTGTCTATTAAATGAACTTTATGTGAATGTAAAATAAACCTTATCTGTGAATAAATTGTCGATAGCTGATGAGCTTCAATGAAATAATTGTCGGTGAAATCAACTTATCGGTAAGTTAATTGTCAATGAAATAAACTTGTCTGTGAATTAATTGTCAGTGAACTAAATTGTTGGTGAAATAACATGTACCTGTCGTGCCTGAAGTTGCAACCTCAGGCGCCTGAAGTTGCACTTTACTGAAATTAACCCCTGAAATTAGATCATCTTGCATGCATTAATTAGTAATTTTAGCAAGTGTAACTTCAGGCACGACATACCCATTTTATTTACATTAATTTTACTCAATTAAGCATTCATTTCATCTAAATTAATTTGCAAAAATTCTAATTCATTAAATTCGTGAATTCTTGTACAACTTCATTAACTTTATTTATTTACACGAATTAAAATAGATAAGTCATTTTGTATCAAGAAATTTGAATTCATTTTATTTAATTTTACTATGTAAATGTATATGTTGTAAGCGAAAACAGAATTTAAGTGGATTCAGAATTTATATAAAAGAGCCCATTTTCGGGTTGATTTTATCATATGTACGCCCTAACGCTAACCCTAATTAACTAACTAGAAAATCCATAGAGTATTCAAGTTGTGAATCTTACTATCAAGTTACACTTTATCATTTTATTCAAATTATTTTAAATATGAAAATACAATTAGCCTTTATACATAATAATTAAAACATACGGCGAAGCCGCCCGCATTCGCAATCTCTAGTTAGTAACTAATATGGAACCAGTTCAATTACAGCTGAAAAGAACGAAATCGAAGTTGCTCCTTTTATCAGAAAATCACGGAAAAAATTTTTATATCCAACGGATATAAACTCTGATAGAGATAAATGTTAATAATAATAATTAATTAACTGTTGATTAATTTGTCAAAATTAAAGATGACGATACAGGATGTTTTGAATTGTAATCTAAATAGGTTCCCATTCTCTGACGATCCTCTTTATGTAAATCACGTTTTTTTTTTGAAATTTGATACTTTTGACTTGGATTACCCAGATTTTAAGCCATTTTTTATGTAAAAGCACCGGGAAATCATCACGAATTTCAAAAAATATTCTTTCAACACTCGCATGCTTCATTTTGAAAACGACGATAAACCGCCAGTCATTATTCAAATTTTATTCAACCTGTCTTACTTGAAATCAATTACAATGAAAATTATCAGTCGAACTTGATTGTCAGTATGATGAATATATTCAGATTGGTTTGGCATTTAAGATAACAATTTTTATATAAATATGTCTAAATTCTTACCTTCACAGTTTATTATCAACCTTTACTATTAAATAAATTCATTAAATTCATTTAATATCTTTATTTTCCACACAAGAATTTCCCTCTCACTTTTCTTTGCCTTTAAACAATCATGAAATTCATATCAATTTTATTTATTTTTTTGGTATTTGCCATTGTTATGGTTCATACATCTCCCGCAGCTCCCAGAGCTCTTGCAACTCGCAAAGCTCCTGAAGAAAAAGTAGGACCCAATCTAAAATCTATTGCGGTTGCACGTAACGGTATCTATGCTAAACTTTTGAAAAAGTTGAACAAGATCAATGATGAATATGAAACACATTTCAAAAGCTTTGAAAAGGAATTACCAATCGCCGCAAAAAAGGATAATTTACCAATACCAAAATCTTTTCCGGCATGGAATGACGCATATGTAGAAGATGTAAATAAAGTAAAAACAATCGCTAAAAGATTGCACAAAAGAATCGAAACTGCAATTGCAAAAGCAAAATATTATCACCCTTAAATATTAAAATAATGCTCATTTATTTATTTTTATTCTAAATTTAATAAATTTAATCCTAATTTTTTCTCGTCGAAAAACTTCGGAATAAAATAATGAACATAAAATACGAAAATATCCGAAATATACTGAAAAAATATGATATATTGTATCCCTTAAACCGTTTGTCAATTCAGGGCAAATTTACCCTGAATTTTTCTGACAAGACGTGCTTATAAAAAAAAGAATTTTACTACTTTTTTGATATTAAATATAATATAGATATATCATATAAGTTTAGTATTTTTTTATATTATTTATTGTTTGTAATTATTATTATTATTGTTATTATTAAAGTATACAATAAAGAAAACGAACTTTCAGTCAGAGTTTTGATTGGTTGTTTATTCATGATTTGATTGGATAGATTGTTGAATATGCAGATAGTAAAATTTATGTGATATCATGAATGATTAATTCGAAAGCTAGAATTACTTAGCTACGTTGAACGAGATGAAATCTAAACTTAAAACGGAAAAGGATGACGTAAAAAAAAGAATTGTTCGAGTATATTATACGAAAAAATAATAATAAAATAAATAAAATTAAAAAAAAAAAAAATGTAGAATAGAAAAATAAATGATAACAAGTTGAATTCTAGACTTAAAACAAATAAAAAACGACGTTATAAAAGAATAGTTCGAGTATAATATGCGAAAAAAAAAATACATGCGATTACGAATGTTTGTTAGTAATAATAGATGATTAAAATGACGAAAATAATAGTAAGATAAATAACGTTAAATAGATATAAAAGAAAAGTAACAGGAAAAACGTGATTATTGTGCTAACAATACTATACGTTCAGTATATACATGAGCTATATGTAGTATCGCAAAAAAATTGGAGTTACTTACTGTTGTTGCTGCTTGGATTTGTTTAACCTTTAGCTTAATAAGGTAACTTTGAATTTGTGCGTGAGAAAAATTATTTATATTGTGAGCATCTATGTAAATTCTCAGTAACTAAAAATGAAAAAATAATTAAATACCGTGATTAGTAAGACGATCGACGTATTAGAATAAATTGTAAATCGGCATTCGGTAATATTAAAAAAATAATAATAATTGCGTCGGAATGAGTTAAGATATTGTTATTATGAAACAATTTAATAATAATATTCGTAAAATAACTAAAAAAAATCGAAATAATGAAGAATGTAATCATCATTTGATAACAACACGTAGTTTGATATTAGAGTATACAGTAAAAATATGTATGTATAAATATGAAAATAGAAATAGACTATAAAATTATAAAGATAATTCAACAACCAACAAATAATGCTGAAGTTGCTGCTTGCATGAAAATCCATTCGACAGCTGTAATTCAGGAACGACATGTGCAAATTTGGCGTGTAGGTGAAGAAAAACCAACTTATATTAGTATACTAAATGAAAATTATGAAGCATTACAGTATCCGTCATTTTTTCCACATGGTGAAATAGGTTGGTACATGTATTGGAAAGATCCTGAACATTCAAATCTACAAAAAATTTCACAAGTAGATTATTATCATTATTGTATTATGTCTGAAACATGGTTTCATTTACTTGGCCGTCTTTTTAATGAATATTTAGTGGATATGTTTAGCCGAGCAGATGATGAACGTTTACAGTATATATGTTGTGCGTCAGATTAAAACCTGCGTCAAATTGCAATCAGTTGACCAACATTAAATGATCGGCAATAATTGGCCCAAAAAAACTCCTAACTTTACCGTAATTACCCTAACCCTAATCTAACTTAGGCCGATTGCAATCTGATGCAAGTTTTAATCTAACACACGACATATACGTCAAGAACAACATCGGCTTAGGAAAAAAGATTATGAAAATGATGAAACAGTTTATGATGAAGTTGAGTTATATCCAAAGAATATATATTTACCAGCATCGCACACACTTTCATATAGGTGGACTTACAAAAAAACAATGGATGCTCTTGCAGTAGTGAGTAAACTGGGACAGCCTACACTGTTTATTATTTTTACTACAAACCCCAACTGGCCAGAGATACAACAACAACTACATTCTGGTCAAAATTATGCTGACCAACCAGATATTGTAGTGCAAGTATTTAAGCAACACATAAATTACTAAAAACATACTTTGGGAAAATAGTTTATTTTATGCATGCTATTGAATTTCAGAAGCGTGGTTTACCTCACGCTCATATAATAACTAAATCAACCCCGAATTTGCTTGAACCAGATAATATTGATAAAGTGATAAGTACTGAATTACCTGTAGGTAATAGTCTTCAACAAAGTCATCTCTGTGATTTAGTAAGGCAATCCATAAATATACTTCAAGATTATACAACGTGGTAGTTATTGTCATTGAAATTATCCCAAACCTCTGCAAGAATATACTACAATAAATGAATATGGCCATGTTCATTATTAACACATACTGAAAATGATGTTGATATTGTGTTGTACAACTCTTTTCTATTGTTAAAATTACATTCACATATAAATATTGAAGTGTTATATACTTCACATGTAGTTTCGTACCTTTATAAATACATTTATAAAGGTTAAGATAAGACATCAGTCACTATTCAAATAGGAGAAAATGATGAAACTGTTGATAAAATTAAAGATTATATTAATGCATGTTACTTTTTTGCAATAGAAGCAGTCTGGCGTATTTTTAAATACAGAATAATTTCGCAATCACCATCAGTAACATGTTTGCCAGTTTATTTACCTGAAGAACAGACTATATTATGAGAAAATAATAATAGTCTTTCTACCTTGCAATGCTATTTTCTCCGCCCACCAAATGTAGAATTCAATGATCTAACCTATTGCAAATACTATGAATTATATACATTTACATATGCTAAAAATTTAGTTAATCAGCAATCATTACCTCCAAATACCTACATAAAAAAAGAACAAAAAAATTGTCGACAACATATTGTCAAGCTATACAAACAAAACTATGTACATATAACGAGGATGAATATAATACGACCATGCGTTGGTGAAAAATATTATCTTTACATGCTTTTAAGCTGTTGTGCAACTTGATCATTTTAGATCTATGTACAGTAAATAGCATATTATACTCTAATTTCCAAGATGTAGCATGTGCCTTTGAATTATTAGAAGATATAAATAAAAATGAGCAATGTTTTGCAGAAGCTATATCCTATAAATGTACTCTAGCACAACTTCAATTGCTCTTTTGTTGCCTAATTCTAGAAGGTATGCCAGCACAATCTATCTGGCAAACCTACAGTAAATTAATATCAGCAGATTATATTAATAATAAAAATGATATACAACAAGGAAAAAATGAAGCCTTAATATGGATAGCAAGTTTTTTAGAAGAACATGGAAATCGAATAGCACAGTTTGGTTTACCTCAACCATCCAATCATCTTGATGAAATAACATGCATTCAAGCACCTTATGACGATTACAATGCATTGATTGCATTATATAATAAAATGATACATGAACTTAACTTCGACCATGCATTAAATGACAAACCCTTGGTAATTTTTATTAATGGATATACAGAACATGGAAAAACATTTTTAATAAATGTTATATGTCTTGCTGTAAGATGTTTAAAAAAGATAGTACTTTCTTGTACAACAACCGGCTTGGCAGCATTAAATTATGACAGAGGATGTGTAGCATACTCTTTATTCCGTATTCTTGTTGAAGTTAATGGTGAAGGAAATAAATATCAAATAAGTTTACATAGTGATCATGCAAAACTAATTTATGAATTATCAATTATTACTTGGGATGAATTACTCATGGCTAGAAAGGGTAATATTGAAGCAGTTGGCATTTTTCTTCAAGAACTTTGCACCAATAATTTATCATTTGGAGGGAAAGTTTTTATCAGAATAGGTGATTTTCATCAAGTTGCACCTGTAATTCCACGTTCTGGCTGAACAGCTATAATATTGGAATCAATTAAATCATCTTTACTTTGGAAATCATTTAAAGTTTATAAGTTTAAACAACCTATTCAAGATGCCCATGATCAAGAATACTTTCAACTAATGGACAAAATAGGTGATGGCATTAATGGCAAAAATGTGTTATTAAAATTATTAAGAATGACCCATAAAATAAATGATATAATTGATTTTACCTTTCCTAAAACTGTGTTAAACAACCCGTATGAATGCCAAAAACATTCAATACTTTGTTTGTTAAACTCTAAAGTAGAATCGATTAATGAAGTAATTTTGCAAAAGTTAAAAGGTGATGCAATTAAACTATATAATTCAGACAGCTTTGCAGATAGTAATATCATAAAAACAAATCAAGCTAGAAGAAGTATGTTATCAGTTAAATTGTTAAATTCCCTCAATGCATCTGAAATACTAAAACACCGCCTAACCTTAAAAAAGGGTTGTATTACAACTATAATGAGAAATCTCTTAATATATGATAGCTTTTGTAAAAATAGCAGAGTTATTATTATAGATATAGGGTGAAAATTAGTTACTATAAGGAACCTTACAACAGACTCCATAATATATTTACCAAGAATTACTTTCTTATTTCATATACCTCAATTTCCATTCAAGATTAGCTATCAACAATTTTCTTTAAGCCTTGCTTATTCTTCAACTTTTAACTCTTCACAAGGTTTAACACTAAATCATGTAGCACTTAACTTATACACACTAGTATTTAGTCATAGACAATTATACACTGCTCTAACAAGGGTTTGTCAAAAAAATCATATTATAATACTTACTAAAAAAAACAATTCTACCAATTTGTCAACTAAAAATATTGTATTTCTGGAATTACTAAAATAACTAAGAACAATCAATTCTATAAAATTATGAATAAGATTGTAAATAATAAAAAAACTGTCTTTTTTTGCTAACGAAAAATGAGAATTAACTAAACAAAAATATATAAACTTGAAATATTAAAAATAAAACTGTAAATAATTACTACTTAATTGGTTTAAATATCGGATTGAATATAAATTAACAAATAATTATATATGCACAATACAAAAAATATTAAAAATAAGAATAGCAATTTATTTACATCATTAATGTGCAACTCTTGCTAGATATAAAAACAAATCAAACAATGTAATAAATACTTTAAATAATTGACTACAGAATACTATAAACTAAGCTTAACTAGCAGATAAAAAATATAAAATATATATATGCAAAAAAGATATATACATAAATAATAACATAACAAACATATTTAATAAATTTACTTGGTTTTAATATTTTCACTCTTATTCAACCTAGAAGTACTACGAAGAGATCAATTATTATGTTTACCTCCTTTTGAACTATTATGAGCAGTACTTTTTCTCACTCTCTTCCTTTTTTGAGTTTTTTCATTTTCACTATTTTGATTAAATTCATTTATATCAATAGTCTTATCTTGATGAAAATTATCATTATTCACAAAATTTAAAAAATAGATTAGCACTTTTAATGCCTTTTTTACTATTATTAAGAGTGCCCTTTTGATGTCTTTTCTTTTTAAAAATATCTTTGCTCTTATCATTTTGATCAAATATATCTATATCAACTGTTTTACCTTGAAAAAAATTATCATTATTTGCACTATTTGAAACTTCTACAAATTTACTGAAGTATTTAGGCTTTTTATAATTTGATGTTGAAGATGTAGCCTTAGCTTTAGAAGATTTTTTTAGATCTTCGATAAGATTTTGATGAGTAAAAAGATATTTCGAACGAATAGTGTTAACAGCTTCAGATGAATTACTATTATCAAACATTTTTTGTTTAGATGAAAGTTGAGTATCAATAAAATTGATATCTTTCGCATAAACATAAAGATTATTATTGATAATCTCTAACTGCCCAATAACAAAAATTAGTGACACCTGCTAATGAATCATAGTCTTAAGATGTAAAAATCACGGATTTGAATACAAAAAAACAACCTTAACAAGAAAATTATACTCCTGACTAGCATAATTGTTTATCAACACATTGAAAATAGCATTATCATTTGCCAATAACTGAGGTGACTCTTGGGATGATCCCACCAAAGAAACTTTTAATAGACACTTATTTAACTTAGTAACTTTGTTAAGAATAGATACACTAGTCAAAATAGAAACCATTATCTAAAATTAACAAAAGATAAATATAGATATAGTAAAATAAAAATGATTAAATACTAACAAATACCTTTGCTCTTTTGTTACTTTCATAATAGCTAGGCACTATTTTACTGCCAACTGAATAAAAATTATCTTTCTCGAAAACATCTTGAGTTTCTGGATCTCTTATCAAGATTAACAGGTACAAATAAAACTAATTCAATCTCATTTTGTTCACAATCTACAGGATAAAAACTGATAACCCAAACAACCATTAAACTAGTATCAACTTTTTTAGTCTTATGAACATACTTAATTCTAACAATTGTATCTGTTTAACATGGCATAGTAATAAGTATTAAATATCTTAATTAAACTTATTTTCAGTTGGTTTCGTTATTATTTATTTATTTATTTATTTTTTAAAAAAAAACGTCAACTGAATTATTTATTTATTTAAATTCAAATAAATAGTATATAAATAAATACTCAAAAACAAAATTAATATTGTCGTTTTTCTAATTCTAAATAATTACCAAAAATTTTAACACAATGTATAATAATTACCGAAATTTTCATCAATTCTACAAAAAAACTGATTATATAATACTAAATATATTGATAAATATTAAATAAAAATATTGCTAAAACTTAATCGTCAAAAAAATTTAACTTATTAGTCATATCTATAACTTAATATATAAATTATCTAATTACAGAAATTTCACACGATAATTCAACAACTATCACAAATGTTCAAACTTAAAATAGTTCAAATATAAAAGCACAGAATATTACAAATATTACATATAAAATAATTAATTCTCAGAAATAATAATTAATTCACAAATTATCTATGAAAAATCATAGAATACAAAACCTTTTAAATTAATGAACAAAACAGTAACTTGTGTAAACTCTATACAAACAACAAATCAATCCACCATATTAAAATGTATATACAAATAAATAAATTAATTTTTAAAATTATTGACTATCTAAATCTAATCTAATACGATATATAAAAAAAACAAACTAACCTATAAAATTACAAATACCAAATCTACTTCAAAAATATAATCAACACAATTATAACTAACAAGGTAAAAAAAAAATATTAACGAATTAACAAATAAGATGGGTAGCACAAAGCACCACCCATCGAACTAGTATCTAATAAAATAATCTAGATACTGTTTATCTATGATAAATCTTTAGAATTACTATTAAAATATGTATTTTTTAAAATTAGATAACTTTTGATTTTACTACCAAAATGATTGTCTTGTTGAGATGATTTCTATAAACCCAACCAACATCGTCAAAATCTGATAACAGAATCATAGAATTGTTAAAATTTTACTTTATAGAAATTTTTACAGATTTTGTAATATCTTATAATCTAGTAATTGGAATTTAAAGATTTTGGTACCATTCGATTCATCTCATTAAGTTGGATCGAATACTACTCAAATTATTAAATTCAAATCGCTATATTACAGGATATTGGTATTTGAATAATATTTATAAAAGCTTAACTATCTTATCTTGATATTTAATAGTCAGAACTTAGCTATTTTGATACTATGTGATTCTTCTCAATGAGATGGTTTGAATGATACCAAGATCATCAAATTCGGATTATTAGATCATGAGATATCTACAAAAGGTTTTTAAAATATAGTTCTATACAAAAATTTCTACACAAAACAGTGCTGCAGATTGTTTTTTGTGGATATCTTGTGAGCCAGTAATTGGAATTTGCTGATTTTAGTACCATTCGAACCGTCTCATTGAGACGAATCGAATGGTACCAAAATTGCCAAGTTCTGATCATTAGATATAGAGATCGTTAAACATTTATGAATATTATTCAAATATTAATATCTCATGATCTAGTGACCAAAATTTAAAGATTTAGCACTATTCAACCCGGCTTATGAGACGAATCAATTGGTATCAAAATCATTAAATTTTGATCACTAGATAACGAGATATCATTAAATCTGTAAAAAATTCTGGGTCACAATATTTGTGCAGATTGCTTCAAATTTATTTTCTCGATAAATAGGTAATAATTATATAATCTAAAAAAATAATGATTTTTATATAAATAAAATATATAATTTTTAAACAAGATAGTTTTGATTAAAATTTTTTGATATAATCCAAGTATAACATAAAATATTTAATCAAAATTGTAAATTCAGAGCAAATTTGCAGAAGAAATGGTTTAAGTGATAATATTAGAAAAGAAGTAGAAGAATATTTTATATTGGTAATGGATGCATTATTGCTAATTGTTAATTCCTATAAATTCTTTTTATAATTAATTTTAGATATTTAGCATTATTCATAATTTTTAAGAGCCATGGTATTTTTAATACATATAAATAATTTAAAGTTAGAATTCATCTTCATTTATATCTATTAGGTCTAAATAAATTTGCTAAAATTAACAAATGAATATTTGAAAAAAATTTTAATAAATGAAAATAGTTATTCCAAACTCTAGCAATAATATTATGTGATAAATTTCACTACAATGTTAAAGTATACAGCAGTATAAATACAACAATAATTGTTATTATAATTTGATTGAACCAATTTGTAATTATTATTTGATCAAAGGAGGCTAACGTTATCTATAGGAGTTGTGCAGGACCCAAGATAATACTAACAGCCCTTTAAATTCCAATTTATTTGCCTATTTAATTATTTAACTTATAATTTTATTTCAGAACGTTTTGGGTTTTGCAAAAAAATTTTGCTCTACTTTGCTTATATTTTAGATTTATTTATTTTCTACTTCGGATTTTTTCAGAATTTCAAAAAATACACCATATAGATTCTTTTATAATATTAGATATTTATTTCAATAAAATGATCTTTTTTTCTAATGCCCAGTTTAATAATACTAGTTTCAATTAAAAAGCCTTTTTAATAATATAACCTTCATCAAAATTTTAAAATTTCTTGTCTGGTTTAATACTCGTACCTTTATTAGTATTATCTGGGGTTCTAGTTGTGTGCTATTTATAAGGCCTTTTAAGAATATACTGTAAGGTATAAAATATGTTATAAAGTAGAATAAGATGGTTAAAACAAAAACATCATGTACTGTGCTAATTGCAAACAAAGTGAGAACTGAGATTTTTTTTATATAGTCAACTAATAAAAATTATCCATTTGATAATCATATAATAAAGCAGATTTGCCTCATAGGATGAAATTTATATAATTGGTATTTACAAATATCAAATTTAATATGCGAAGAAATTATTAACAAGATTATTTTTTTATTAACTCTACTCTTGTTTTTTTTTTAAACAGGATGCTATAGATTATTTCAAAGAAAGAATATGGTCAGATATAAAACAGATTATTTAATGTTATTTATTGATTGTGCATTTGCTTATAACCTGTCACATTTTATTTTTGACTAAAGTAGTAAATATATTTATTAAAAATTTTATATATATTATATTATATATACTATATAATCAGCACAAATCTCCAAAAGTTTTTATGAACAGGTTGTATTTGTTAAAAATTTTCAGGAGATTGGCTTTTAATTTCACAATTATATATAGATAGTGTGTTCTTATGTGAATTACATTTTGACTATTGAATGCGTATATAATAAACTTTATGTATATGCTTTACTATGCTGCTATGGCATTTTTAGTAATGTGGTGATGTGTATTCATAAAGTCTCATAACTAATTAAATAATGCATTTAATGCAATGAAAACATGAGATTCTCCACTTAAATTTCGCGATATTGCATCACATAGCACTATATTTATATATTATATATGTCAACTTATAAGAAATAATAAACATTTATAAAAAATACTTTTTATTTATTATTGTCTTTCAGAATTGAACCAAATATAGATTTATTGTCAACTGTCTTCAGATAGTCTTCAGAACTGTTAACAACTTATCCGAAGCTAGTGTTAGCTGAACAATAAAGCCAAACTAATAAAAGCCGGTAAGCTGCAACTTAAGCTATAACTTGGGGTTGCAACTTTCAGTATCAGCTGAAACTGAATCAATTTTTAAAGCCATGGCTCCAGATTAAACTATAATTATTGAAGCCACAACTTGTGTCATAGCTAGGGCATAACTTGAGCCTTGAGCTGTGGCAGATAATACTGATACAGTACTGCAGTAGCTATTTTAATAATGATTTAAAGAAATATAATATTTAAAGAAGTCATACAAGCATCAACAGCTCTAAAAATCTTTAATGGGCTGTAATTGGTCTACAAAACCCTCGTCATATAATGTCAGGTATCACATGATATTTCAATTAAGTATCTTCAAACCTTTTTCTTATTTAACCAATTGAACATTACCAATCAATATATTAAACTTCTTATTAAATTTCTATTCATATGATTTAAGGTTCTCTCAAGCCCATAAATTAGTAGATCGGAACTCAATTTTCAATTTGTGGAAAGTAGTTTAACCAGTGAGTAGGTGATGAAGAAAAAAAAAGTCTGAGACCATTTTTTTTTTTTGTCAAAGTCTTGTTCCGATTGGCTAGAATTTATTATTCGCATTTTGCGATATTAATTATCACGTAATTTAACAACACTATGTTGACTTTACTATCGATCTTTACTCGCTTGGCTTTACTATGATGACTGGAGTATCGTACCAGATACTACCACCGATAATGTATTCAAATGGATACAACAGTTTATTCATTAAGTGTCAAGGTAATTCCTGGAACGAAAGTTAGGCACTTCCCCTATCTGGATCGATGCCATTTTATTAATTACTAATAATACACATTATTACAGACATTCTCATCGCTAATGATTACTATATTATTCATGCATGCAATACTAATTTTAATCGCTAATTACTACATTGTTCATGCAATCACTATATTAAACTTTTTAATTAAATCGGGATCACGCATTCATGCAAACGCCGATCACAATATTCGATCAGCATGTACCCGATCGCTGGTCACCTGGGTACCGCTAACCAACTCTGGCACTACAAGTACATGGGGTATTGACAAACACTGCGACACTTTGACCCATTAAATGAGGCGTTTAAAAATACCATAGTCATTTGTCATTAGGTTCATTTAATATTAACTATTTTATATGTAATATTATGATTTGCAACTTCTTAATTATTTACTTACTCAAATCTGCTATAAAAATATAATATTTGATTTTAAAGATTGTTGAAAAAATAGTTCTAATTTAAGATAACAAATACACAAAAAAATAATTCTAATTTAAGATAACAAATATATAAAAAAATAGTTCTAATTTAATAAATATACAAAAAAATAGTTCTAATTTAAGATATGGTTTGG